CCATGTGTACACAGACATATGTATATATATACATATATATATGTATGTATGGTTAGTGTGTATGTGCATGTACGTGTGTGTATGTATGTAGTGTGTGTGTGTGTGTGTGTGTGTGTGTGTGTGTGTGTGCGTACCGTGTGTTCAAGGGGAGGGGGGTCAAGTGGTGGCTGGCGCTGGTGGCTGGTGGTGGTGATCACTCGGACGAAGCGACAGACGGATATGCATGACGAGCCCACCACCCCCCCCTCCCCTCCTTCCCCCCTCGTCCCACACCACACCACACCACACAAACTCCAACCCACACTGTCTTCCCCACCATGGCCACCAGTCCACCAGTCTCCCCCATCCAAGTCAGTGAGTATACCCCGTTCGGAGAGAGTGGCAACCACGAGGACGACAACGAGGTCGACCGCCACCACCATGGTGACCACCATCACCTCGACGACCTCGATGACGAGGGGAAGAACGAGATTGACTATACAGCATCGCCAGGAGGCCCTGCTTGGGATGGCGCAGAGTCGGACGGTGGCTTGTCAGTCGACTCCGGATCGAGCTCCGGATCGGGCTCGGGCTCGGGATCGGGATCAGGCTCGTCGGCCTTTGAGGTTGATCCGGCAGTGGTGTACTCGGCAGAGGTGATGGCGGCGTTTGGGGCCTTGTCTGAGGAGCAGCGGCTGCGGTCGCTGGCAGAGTACCGGCATACCAATAATGTACTGATGGAGAGGCTCGAACGCGCCCATCAGCTGCTGGAGATCGAGGCTGAGTTCAAGGCCGTCGCCCATGAGGAGCTTAATGCGCTCCACGCCGAGAATCGCGGGCTGGAGGCCCAGCTGAGCGAGGCTAACACCATGATCGAGGCGCTGCAGGCCGAGCTCGATGCCGCACTTGCGTCCAAGGCCGCCATCACCAAGGAGAAGCTCCGGGTGTCGACCCAGCTGAGCGAAGCCAACCTGTCGATGGCGGCGCTGGCAGATGGCGGCGACGACGGCGGAGTCAGCGATGCGGCCGAGGTAGTGAGCAGCGTGGGAAGCGCGTCACCAAAGGCAGAGGCAGCGGCTGGTGTGCTCAGTGCAGCAAGCAGCGGGCCGTCGATGATGGACAAGTACCTCAGCGCCAAGGAAGAGACGCTCGAGCTCAAGGCGCAGATCAAGGCGCTGGGCGGCGAAGTGGAGGCGGCGCGGGCGGCGTGCGCGCGAGCGGAGAGCGAGCGCGAAACTGCGCTGGAGGACAACGCCTGGCTCCGGTTCAACGCGCACTGCATTCCGTACCGCAAGCGAATGCGCAGCCTGGGGCTCGAGGCGCAGGCGCTGTATGCCCAGGCCAAGGCGCGGCAGCTGGCGCCCGAGGGCTGGGGCGAGTTTGTGTATGGGCATGTACATGCCGGGCTTGAGTCTGGCAAGATCCGCGACTCGGAGTCTGACGACGGGAGCAGCGGCGGCGGGCGGGCGCGGCGGGTTGACTCGCCGCTGTACGAAACAGTGAGCTCGGACGGGGCGGACGAGTCGGTGCCTGTGGGAGCGTCGGCAGGCGGAACGCCGATCCGGTATGGCGGGCGGGCGGATCTGCTCGCTGGCGGCGGGAACAATAGCTCGATGGAGGGCCACATTTCGAACGCGTGGGTCCCGGACAAGCTGGTGACGCGGTGTACGCACTGCACGGCCAAGTTCACGCTCTTCCGCCGCAAGCACCACTGCCGGCACTGCCTTCAGATCTACTGCTCGGCGTGCTCATCCAACTTTATGACCATCCCTGCGCTCAACTTTCTGGAGCCTGTGCGAGTCTGCGACGTGTGCGTCTTTCTTATCACGCCGACGATGCACGGCCTGCCGCCGGACGCCTGAGGTTAGGCTTGAGAGGACGGCCCGGCAGGCGCGGGTACAGCCGCAACTGCAGCCGCAGCTTCAGGCGGAGAGCTCGACGCGGTCATCGTTGCGGGCTCAACGTCGGGCTCGAGGATGTGGAAGACCGACGGAGTTTCGGCGGTTGAGACCTTGGGCGGCGAGTACGAGGCGTAGTCTTGGTCGATGACGGACTGGAGGACGGCGACCCACTGGGCGGCCATGTCGGGGGTGGGCGCGACGAGAGTGTAGGTCCTGCTGACCGTGACGAGCGTGAAGCACGAGCCGCGCGCGACGCCGAGCTTGCCCTCGAGCGAGGCGTCCGAGGTCGGGGCGACTTCGGAGGCCTCGGCCATGGGGATGACGCCCTTGGGCTTGGTCACACTTGTGACTGGCTCGTAGTACGAGAGCTTGATGTGCGAGATGGGCGTCGAGTCTGTGGGCACGATAAGAACAAACATGCGCTTCTTAAAGTTCTTGCGGACGCCGCCGCGCTTGTAAAGAAAGCCAATGTAGCGGGCGTTGCCGATAAACTGCGGAAGGACCGAGGCGACAGTTCGCGACTCTTCCTTGAGGCACTTCCACTTGTGCTTGTTCTTGGCGTCGAGGGCGAGAACGGCGCGCATCGAGTAAAACTTGCCGAGCATCCAGAAGGCTTTCTCGTGCGTGCAAAACTGAAAGGCGGCAAGGACGCGCGAGACCGAGTCCAGCATGGTCTCGAGGAGCTCGCGCGCGGCGGCGCCGCGGCCGATGGCGGCGGCGAGAGCCGGGGCGAGATCGAGCCACTCGCGGAAGACGCCGAGGTGGAGCGGAGTGCTCGGCGCGATGGAGACAAAGTACTTGAGGACGATGGCAAGAGCGTTGACACGCTGGACGCCGGGCTTGGCCTTGGAGGCCTTGGCAAAGAGGACGCGACCGTAGACAAAGCGGGTGCCAAAGCAGGCGCGGTCGTGGTCGATGATGCTCTCGAACGAGGCCTCTGCGGTGTCGAGGTGGCGGGCGACGTCGAGCTGACTCGACGCCATCGTCGACGCCATGTAGTGGAGAAAGCCATGATTGATGATCATGTCGACCGGGACCGGCTTGCTTGCCTCGCGAAGCTCTGCAAGCGAGCGCTCGATGGTGGCGGTGGCGGTGGCGACAAGGCCGGGCAGGTCGACCGATGCCACGTCGGCCTCGCGGTGCGAGGCGCGGAGCCGCTTAACCATAAAAGCTTTGTAGCCGAGGGCGGCGGCGAGGTTGTTGAGCGCAACGACGTTGTGCGGCTGGACGGCAACGACCTCGCCGTAGCGGATGGCAAGGTCGTCGAGCTTGGCAACCGACTCGATGTTGGTGTCGAGTGCCGGGAGGCTCTTGTGGTCGCGCGAGGTTGAGACAAGTGACTTGAGCAGCAGCGGCTTGGCCTCGATCGAGTTAGCGATGTCCTCGGTCTCTACGTCGTCCGGGTGGATGGTAATGCGCTTGATGGCGTGTGGCGAACGCGGCGGTGGCGCGGTCGGCAGCGCGGGCGCTGAGGCCATGCCGCTTGGCGCGGCGCCGAGTCGGGGAGGCGAGGCCGGGAGCGGCATCGACGGCGGGCGGGTGGACGGCTTCTCGGCGTGCTGCACATGCCACGCAAGGCCACCCAAGGAGTGCTCGGTCTGGCGAACCCAGTCCGGTTTGTCGTGGCTGGCGGTAAAGTCGAGCTCGTGCTCGGGACTGGCGATGAGCGGCTCAGGCTGCGCGGCGGCGGCGTCTGAGGAAGCCGCCGAGACTGCAGCGGCTTTGCGAGCCTGCTGGATGTGCCAGGGGACGTCGTTGTCGGCGGGCGGAGCGGGTGCGGGTGCAGGCGTGGGAGAAGAGGTAGTTGGGGAGGATTCGGCGGCAGCGGCTTTGCGAGCCTGCTGGATGTGCCAGGGGACGTCGTTGTCGGCGGGCGGGGCAGGAGTGGCCACGGGGGCAGCGGCGGCAGCAGCAGCAGCAGGAGACTGGGAGAGGCGCGAGTAGCCGGCGGGTGGCGGGGGCGGGAGGCGAGCGGCGGATGGCGAGACAAAGGCCGGCTGAGGATGCGGTGTGGGCGACGCCGAGGCTGTGATGACAGCGGCAGGCTGCGGCGTGGCCTGGATGGGCGTGGAGGCATGACTAACCACAGGTGGCGATGCGTACGAGGCAGCATGTCCCGGATACGACGCCATGGCCGCAGGCGAGGCCACCGGCCGTGCCGAGTTTGCCTGAGCCGCCCCAACCGGCACGTCGGTCGGCTGCGTAGCTGGAGCAGGATGTGTGCTAGCTGGCGAGGTGTGATCCGCAGCAGCCGGCGAGATGGGCGGGGCGGAAGCCGGCGAGATGGGCGGGGCGATGACAGCGACGGGAGCAACGGCAGTGGCGGCGACTGGGCGGACAGGGACAGCGCCTGGAGCGTTTGCAATGAGTGAGCGAGAGACGATGGATGGTCTTGGTGCGACATATGCCACCTTTTCTTGTGATTGTATGGCAGGAGGGTGACCATGGCCATACCCACCACCACCATGACCATGGCTACCACCTGGTCCATGGCCAGCCGTCAGTAGGGGCGCAGACGGGTCATGGGCGGCAGGGAACTGGGCATGCTCCTCCACAAGCGGCTTGGATGCACAGCAGCCCATGGTAGTGTAGGCGATGGAGAGTGCGGTGTGCCCGTTCCCCCTGTTTCCGTCTCTGTCTCCATGTCTCCTGTGGCTGTTACTGCTCTGGGGGCCGAGCCCGTCCAACACATGCGCTGACTTGACTCGGGCGGAGGGGGTGGGGGGGGGGGGGGGGGGG